ATAAGTACCATATTTGGCAGAGAATCCAGGAGAATCACTTCTGCCATCTCCACACAAGATTAAAGTCTCATTGTTTAGTACAGCCCAAACTTCCTTCTTCATTTCTTCCCAGAGGGATGACACTTCAGGCACAACGTAGTTCCTTTGGATTCTGTGGAATGTTGATGCAGACAAAAAACCAGTTCCAAGAAATGTGAACAGTGTCCTCACCTTTTCAAAATTGTTGCCGGTAATTAAAATAGATGCAGCCATAAGCAAGGTGTTTGTAAACACCTTCTGCCCCCTCTTCTCACATAATACCTTCGACAATGTCCAGTCATCCGCATGACCATTTTCACATGTCCACATAACATGCAATACACCACCTTTGATGTGCCAACCTTTAACTTCACCCTTGGCCATACATGTTTTGATCTGACAATTTTGAAACATGTTCAAAATAATATCAACAACAACCCGATCCTGGCTGAAATGCTTTTGGTGTTCATCACTCTGGCCGTTCATTGATTCAAATTTTTCTTTTAACTTTGATTGCAGCCTCTTTTTCCATTCCTCTCTTGTTTCTGGGCCATATTGCTGCTCTATCACAACTTCGATGCTACCACAATCATCTCCGTAGCTGATTTCCATATCTTCTTCACCTTTTGTGGATGATGAACCCTCAGAACCACTTAATGTACGTTCATCGTCATATTCAGATTGTGAATCACTGGAAACAAAATCAGATGTCAAAATTATTATCAGATCAATTCTTGAATGAGGTTGAGCAGGATATCCAGAATTATTCAGACCAAGGGTCAATGTATCTGCCAAAGCCAGATGCGACCAACCAATGACTGAGGTCTGAATGATTCTGGATATCCTGTGTAAGCTGAATAATTGTTTTATCATTCATTCTATGACAGTAACAAATAAAAGAGACAAAAATTAAAAACAAATAAAAATTCATTGACTTTTCATAAATTTTCCTGTCAATTTTGTAGTTTTGAACAAAGCACCACTGAAATATCTCTTCGGTAGAATAACCTATACAGTTTACTGTTTCCGCTGAAAATAGCATGGGCACCGACAAATACCTAAAATTACTTGTAGCCAATGAAAAAACAAGAACACAGTATAATGAACAATAATACTTGATACTGTTCACTCATTATTGTCAATATTTTCAAAATGCCATAGTATTAGATCCAGATTTACTTTATTACCAAAAGTAAAATTCAGTTTCAAAGGCAATGCTTGTTGCAATTTGTCTTGCAATAATTTTAATTATACAAATGCCATTGTGAAGTAGCTTTTATTCAATAACAGCTAAAAGAACTTACAACTCATCCATATCAGTAATCAAGTCAACATTTCTTGGAACTTCCATTGTTGACGTTTCACTTGAGACAGAACTATATAAATATTAATCCAGAGAGGGAGGTCAGGCATATTTGGAACATCTGATCCCCATTTACTTTGCTACCCACGAGAATTTTTATTCAGGGCCAGATAGAAGGGTTGGGAAGGTTTTCACTAGATCTGGGGGCACAAAAGCTAAAAATCTAGGGGCACAAAACAGTTTCCAAAAGCGCCTCACAAACACCTTTTTAGTTAACCTGATCAATGCATATGCATTTAATTTACCTTATTTCATCATACTCTGAATCTTCACTCAAACTATCTGCTGAAATATCCCCAGCATACACTCCAAATTCAGGATTGAGTGTAACAGACACACTTTCAACTGTGCTCATATTGAGACTTGAAATGCCAGTAACATCTACAATTCTAAATAAGCAAATTATGCCGTAATATTTTAGCAAACAAATCACAATTCACGAACATACTTATATTCAAAAGTTTATACTTACTCATCATGACTAGGTTCATCCTCCATGGCAAATATGGGAGAATAATCACACAATTGGGGTCTACTCTTTGACCTCTTTGTTTGTCGCTTATACAAAGCAAATAATTAGCAAAATCGCTATTGCTCTTCTCAGAAAATCCAAGGGAATTCTTTTTTATAATCCACTCGTCATACACTTGTGCTTGTAAGCCAATTCGTTTAATAGCAATACCAAGTTTTGGCCTTCCATGCTTGGGCGGCCTATCATGCTTGGGCGGCCTATCATGCTTGGGCGGCTGGTTGATGTTGCCATATTTTTTTCATACAAAAACCCACAACCGGGACGAAATGTATGATAAATAAACACTAAATGGAGTATTCCAATACGTATTCTAACCAAAACAATGTCAACTATTTAATATTCAAGAAAGATGTTTAGGATATTCACGGATGACAAAACTCAACTTTATTTTAATTAATTTCTCGACCAACAAAATGGCCGCGGACCAAATTCACGCACGCAATGCATTGTGGTTGACAATGATTCTTTAAAGTATATTTAGATAATATAAAGTTGAATTGGTTTTTGTACAATTTATCTGCAATTATAGCCTTTGTACTCTGTTCAAAACTGTCTGCTGTTATGCACCAGTCAAAGTAAACCCCGACCCCACCCCCCACCCCACCCTGGGCAAAGAGGGGACTTGGTTGGGATTTAGTGGCTTTTTGTCATCGAATTCTGTCCCAACCATGTCGGGAATTTGTTGGTTTTGTCATTCTGCTGAATTATGCCGGGAGATAATGGGGATTGTTAGGGGATTGTCTGTGGCTATTTTGTACCGTTTTGTCCAATGGAATCCCCAGGTTCTACCATTTTATACCATGTGACAAAGGACAAAATGGCGTGCTCGTAAGGAAATGAAATTGAGAGGAATTTTATAAATATATTATTAATTTAATTTCTTTTCAATCTATATGTTAATACCGGTTAATATGTCCATCCATCCATGGAGTCTATTGTTGTGGAAAGCTCAACATTTGTTTGTTTATATTAATATGTTTTTATCGTTCTTTTGAGTTTTGGAACAAAATATTAATATTTTAAAATGTGGATGGTTTTTGCAGCGGCCCAGAGATTGTCAAGGAGATATTATGCAGGAGATAAATTCACTCGCACAACTTACAATTTCCCCCCGGGGGGTGGGGCATATTTTGTCTTTTGCTAGAAAATTTTGTCCCATATTGTGGGGCATTTGTCTGCTTTGGTACGGTATTCAAAACCAATCCCCACCTATATCCCGGGTGAGGGGGGTCGGGGTTTACTTTGACTGGTGCATTATGCAGAGTGAAATAACTAAATAGCAGTGTAACTGTTACATTTAACTCTATTTAAGCAGTTACTGTGTTTCTAATCTGTATACCCTAACCCACCCAGTCTACTTGTCTGTTAGTTTTATTTAAAGAGGCATTGTCAATGATACTACGATGCACGCTTTTTATTTACGTTGGCCGCCATTTTCTTGGTCGAGAAATTCAAGACAATGTTATTTGTTAAGCAGGTTTAGCCCCGCATGCAACTCTTTGGCAAAAATGTTATAAATAACAGCGAATTTAAAGTTAGGGATAAAGGGCCTATAATATTCACATTTTTGCCAAAGGCAAAGACTTGCCTGCGGAGAAGGCAAGTTTTGTCAAATAGCAAATACATTCTTTTGTCTTGTGAGCTCTCAGCTGGAACTATAAATAACAGATCTAATAATTTTTTCAATTTTAATAAACAAAGAGCGTGCAAAGCATTGTAGTTAACAATTCCCTTTAACGATATGTCGTGAGTACCCGAAGCTTCTCAATAATATAAAATATGTGCGCACGCAAATTGAAACGGGCTGTGGATATATTCAATTATAGGTTTGTACTGTCAGGTGTAGCAGCTGGAATTTCACTAAATTCTAAAATGTCAACCGAATACGTACCCACAAATATTGTCTGGCGAAGAAATAGTTAACAGTAAAGTTGTGGTTAACCCCACAAAACAAGCACTAGTACATTCCATTACCATGCTTGTCACATTTAATATTAAACAGTAGTACCCAGAGTACGACAAAAATAGAAAATCATACTACAATGCACTCCATGGGTTAATCTTAATAGTTAATGGTAAAAATCCTCGAATTTCAAAATGCATGTATACATTTCACATGATCTTATCTGATCCTATTCGCTGTAAGTTTATTTTTGAAACATTTAAAGAGGAATTCCACAGAGTGTACAACCCACACCTATAAAAGATGCCATGTTACACTGTATAATTATAGTTGTCGCAACTTGTCTTGCAATTCTTCTTTCAATGCCAATACACCATTTCCGAATTACTCTTCATCGGCTGCAAACATATGGTGAAAACGAGGGTCCGTGCAAATTTGTAATGCGTTTATATTAACTTTAGAACGGCGCCTCGACTCAGTATTATTGTTCTGGGCAACCTGAGCATAACTCAGAAATGGTCTATTGAATAGTTTCATGCAACTGTGAAAAAAAGAGTAGAAAAGTTTCTGTAAATATAAAAGGTACAACATGATTTTACGTTGCGATACAAATATTAGTATTACTCAGCATGGTCTTGCCATTTTGCGTCTTATCCATAAAGACATAAGTTGTATCAACTATATAGTGTGACAATGGCTGATAAATATAGGATGCAAACTTCTAATACTGTAGGATTAATACCTTCATAAGCGTTTTATAGAGTACGTACAGTACTCAAGAAAGCGAGCAGCGGTAGGTTGCGACCGAAAGATGTACATTGGTAACAGTGCAGGTGTCTATAGTGAAGGCAAAGATCGATACTTATCCTGGGTGAAAAGGTCTATCGTGGATAGACACCATAGATAGCACTGAAGATACGATCAAATTGAATTAAATAAAACACAGTACAGTGTCCATTTTTGTCAAAAAACTAGTGTGTCATGCTACAAATGTGATAATAGCGCAAAATCCCAAATTCATGAACCATTCCAATCCAACTCATATCAACACAAATCCAACCTTACCCCTTCAGACAACGATCCAATACAGTAGCACACACTCTCCACTGCACTCATATGAATAACTAGTCAAACAACATACTTTTAGCATTTCTACAAAAAATAAACCGTTAGAACGACAGAGTATATGAAATCATTACTGAGTGATTAGCACCTCGTACCCAGGGCCGTTTTAGTAAAGCAAATGCTGTGAGTACGAGATTGAGTGATTAGCAAAACACAAAGGAAATCACCACCGTACCATTCTCTTCATACCTTGGTACAAATTCCATACTTAGTTAACTAAACTTTCGCATTGAATTTCTCTTTAAACTGCTTTTTTTAAAAATATATCATACACTCAAAATCGTTTAATTATATATAGGTCTCTCTCCTCCAAGAGAGGTTTCTGTGACATCCGTGTTTCTTTCCATAATTTTCCATAATTGGAAAGGAAAAAACCCAAAGGAAACCTCTACTAACTTTCGGTCGAGATCTGACTAAAACAGAGAGGTGTACAATATACAAGTTGAACAAAATATGCACATCGACGCAAGACAAATATTTAATTTAAGCGAAAACTGCTTTACAAAAGAATATATTTTGGCATACCCTCCTCCCCCCCCCGGCCTGTTTTAGTCAGATCTCGACCGAAAGTTAGCAGAGGTTTCCTTTGTTTTTCCCTTTCCAAAGTACGGAAAATTAAATGCCACCATTGAAATCCTCATAAAATAACCTTTCGAACGGGGGGTCAAGTGCCGTCAAAACATTACACAAAGCGAAACAATCATATATTTACTCACCGCTAGGTCAAAGATTCTAGATTTCATATCCACAAGATCTTGAATACCCCTTGAACTTTTCGTCATTTGCTAAACGGCTATACGTGTAAAATACTCTCTGTATTCAAGCGCTTTTGTGTAGAAAGTTTCGTATGTATATGCCGACTAGAAATATTTATTTTGAATTTTTCAAGATATCGGGTTTTACTCGCAATTGCATACATTGCGCAATAATTGGCCAATAAGAAGCTCCTTTGGCCGGGATGACGTCAAACTCACGCGTGTAGGTGCAATTTGACCTTGCGAATGTCTGGCCTTTCCAGGGTCATACGATACAAACGCCGCATTGTTTTGACGGGTTTCAGTCGTATTTCCGGTTGGGATTAATTCACTTCGAGCTCACAGTCGGACAAGAAATGGAAATATATTGATAAAAGATACAGATTTGTAGATTCAGGGTTGCAAATAACACTCCAAAAACACTATTTAATGGGGATTCGAACAAGACTATTACAAAGACGATATGTTCGATGGGGCCGAAGTTATTTTCGGCGAAAGGTATGGCTAGTCTATAATAATCTGTATTTTTGTTCAGACAATTGCGTAATTTGATACAATATGATCGTTTTGACTTTCAAAGGCCCATAAATCGTTACAATACTAATAATGACTATAACTATCGTTTGGAACTAATTGATATTTTATTTCTGAATCGAATGGTGGTATTTCTGTCTTCATAGCATGCACTGAACCGAAAGTATGAAATTTTGAGCCGTCGATCGCTCGCGATCGACGCGAATTGGGCCTGTCAGGAAAGAGTTAAATAAATGGTAATATTTTAAATAAATTAGTGGACTACAATTCTTGGGAGGCAGGAAATTCACTAAACGTGGGACCTCCGACACAGATACGAATTTAGTATGGATTTAGAGATGGGGAAAAAATCGCTGGAAACGAAGCTAACATTGCTTCAACTAAACGTGAAAAGAACCGAAGTGTTACACTTCAAAGTAAAGACCCGATGCCATCGAGCAGCATTGCCATAGACCCGATGCCATCGAGAAACATTGTAAGGCTCTCAAAGATGAGAGCCATCGTCACCGTAGATGATTGCCGAAGAACAGTTGAAGAGCAGAAAATCATAGAGAAAGAAAGTCTAGACGATATTGGCGAATGGAACATTGAGATCAACGCAAAGCTTGCCGAAGCGGACAACGAGGTTAAACGTATGAAAGAATGGCTCGAAAGCCGCCAACACGACCAAGAAACGAGAGAACACAAAGAGCAAATTAAACACGAGACAAGAATGAAATTCCAAACTGAGCTACAAATGGCGAAGTCCAAACAAAACTGGCAAGGTGAAGCCGCGACTAAAGCTTCATATGTCAACGAGACCACTACGGGCATACAAGCAAGGTTACCAAAGTTGGAGATAGCAGAGTCTGATGGTTCGTACATGGATTGGCTGAGGTTTGGGGGACATTTTGAAGAAATTGTGGACAAAACCAATGTTGCAAACATTTCAAAGTTAGCGTACCTACGCAGTTTGTTGTGTAAAAAGGTACTGAAAAGTATCGAAGCTTTGCCTTTCATGGCTGAGGGTTACAATCGGGCGAAAAGTATACTAAAGACTACCTATGGCAAAGAATCGTAAGTGATAAAGGCATACACAAAAGAGATAATGGATTTACCGCATATTTCCAACGTCAACGTGAAGAGAATACACAAGTTTGGTGAGAAACTTATGTACTGTGTTCAATCACTTCAGACTTTGGGTAAATTACAGCGAGTTGAGGGAAATGTCGTGATGATGCTCGACAAATTACCGGCTATATGAGGCGATCTCGTACGTACTGATCCAGATTGGGAGAACTGGGGTTATGACAACCTTGCAGAAGCTTTGCGTCAGTGGACAAGAAGAAATCCTATCGACAACAAAGCGACAGATGAGCCAGAATACAAATGCCGCAAACGTCCTAGTAAATTCTACCATGCACGCCAAAGCAAGGGATGTGTTTATTGTGATGACGTCAATCACAAGTCGGGGGGGGGGTGTACGAAAGTGACGTCGGCGAACGAGCGAAGACAGTGTGCTTTAATTGTACTGGTGCGTCACATTGTGCGTCTGACTGTGCAAGTAAATCGAAGTGTTTCAATTGCGAGAAGCGCCACCATACATCGATATGCGACCAAAACCAAGAGAAACCAAACAAGCTTTTGTCTGCGAGCGTAAGTGGCGAAGGATTATTTCCCGTAGTTGTGGTCAAGGTTAATGGGATTACCATGAGAGCACTAATTGACTCTGGCGCCGGGAGCTCGTACGCTTCCGCCAAACTAATTGATTTATTACACCTGAAACCTTGCGAAGTGAAGACAAAACGTGTTGACATGTCAATGGGATCATGTGTCGAAAGATTTGAAACTTATGAGACGGTGATGACATCTGTTGATAACAAATGCCAGATGGATGTAAAACTAACCAAAGTAAATAAGGATAAACTATTAACGATAGACAATCCTAATTACGAAGCGATAATCACGCGTTATTCACACCTTAGCTTTGTAAAAATAATCGACAACAACAAAAAAGCCAGTTGACTGGTTCACGTAGTGTTGAGTGGGGGAGAATACGCTCGGATCAAGACGGAAACAAAGCCTCACGTCGAGAAAGAGGGTGAACCTGTCGCAGAATACACTAAACTGGGCTGGTTTATAATGTCACCGGGGGAGGAATTTCACAGAAGTACTATGCTTATGACTCAAACCAGCCAGACAGACTACGAGGAACTCTGTTGTCTAGACGTACTCGGGTTAGCTGACTCTCCAACACACGATCAAGAGACGGTGTTCTGCGAAATTAAAGAGCAATTAACGAGAGATCCAGCGGGATGGTACAAAACAGGGCTCCCTTGGCGAGGAAACCATGCAAATTTGCCAAACAACAAACAAGGTAGTCTACGACGTCTGAACCACCTCACAAAGCGACTACACCAAAACAGCCTTGCCACCGAATACGATTCCATCATCCGAGAACAACTCAACACTCAACGAGGGGATTGTCGAGAGTGCAGCGGATGTCCCTAGCAACAAGGAATTCTATATTCCACATAAGGCGGTAGTTAAAGAGAGTGCCGCGAGTACCAAAACGAGAATTGTGTACGACGCCTCTGTGAAAGCCAGACCTGATGCACCATCCCTCAACGAGTGTTTGAATCCCGGACCCCCACTCCCGAACAAACTTTGGGACATCTTGGTCCAACAACGAGCCTACCCAGTCGTGATAGCCGCTGACATTAGGAAGGCGTTTTTGCAGATTCGGATCCGAGAAAACGAACGTGATTCCCTCCGTTTCCATTGGCAGAAAGAACCACACTCAGAGATCAAAGTTCTACATTTCACAAGAGCATTGTTTGGGCTAATCTCGTCGCCCTTCCTTCTCGCCGGAGTACTTGAGTGCCATTTTGATGCCTGGGAGGAGAAATACCCGGACTTAATACGAGATTTGCGCTGAAGTTTATATGTTGACGATCTGCTGACCGGTGGCCAAACTGCACTGGAGGACAATATCAACAGTTTGTGGCAAATAGAGCCGCAAGATCCAAATCATCCGGAAATTGAGTGGCGATACGTGCCTACCCATGACAACCCTGCCGACCTAGCCAGCCGTGGGGGGACAGTGACCACACCGTTGTGGTGGACTGGACCCGAGTGCTACAAGACCACGACCGTTGGCCAACCAACCCAATTACAGAAACTTCAGCAGATTCAGAGGCTGAGGCCAAAATCATTAAAAAGAAGTCTTGTGTGTCGCACAAGCAGAAGAGACGAAGACGGACAACTTCAAAGACCTTCTCGAAAGACGAGACCTACGATGCGTCCTCCGAACAGTGCGTGGATACTGTGTTTTGTTCACAATTATCAAAGCAAACAAAAGCAACGCGGTCCGTTGACAAGCCCAGAAGTGGACGAAATGAAAACTTGGTGGATCAAACGTGTCCAACTCCAAGACAGCACAACCCCACATCACGAGCGAACCAAAGTCGCCTGCAACGTGCAGAAAAATGTCGAAGGTCTGCTAGAGTGTCGGGGAAGAATCAGAGGAAAGTACCCAACTTACCTACCTCCTGACGCGCCGTTTACGAGAAAGTTGGTGCAGACAATACACGTCGAGACACTGCATGGTGGCGTTGGTTTAACCATGGCCGCAGTGAGAGAGGATTACTGGATACCAAAGCTCAGACGGTTGGTAAAGTTGATCCGAAGAGATTGCTGGGTCTGCAAGCTTTCAAGAGCAACAGCCTTCACAGCACCCCCTCCTGGTCAACTTCCAGAAGACCGAACCACCGGAGAAACAGCCTTCGAAGTCATGTGAACTGATTTTGCAGGGCCAATACGGTATCGAAGAGCTGCGAAGCGAGAGGGAAAGACCTATCGGGTCATTTTCTCTTGCAGTTTGTCGAGAGCGGTCCACCTAGAAATAGTTCCCAATCTTGAAACGGCCACCTTTATCCCATGTTTGAAACGGCTAGTCGCTCGAAAGGGTCAACCTCGGGTTATCTACTCAGACAACGGTCGTACATTTGTGAAAGCGGCGAAGTGGTTAGGTCAAGCAGTGAAGGACAAGCGCCTCCACAGCCATCTAGAAGAGTGCAACATCACGTGGAAATTCAACCTGTCAAGAGCACCCTGGTGGGGCGGCCAGTTCGAGAGACTGATAGGTATAGTGAAAAAAGCAATGCACAAAACGATCGGGGGAGCGACACTCACTTGGCAAGAGTTAAGCGAAGTCATGTTAGATATCGAGACCCAAATTAATAGACGCCCTCTGAGCTACGTGGAAGATGATGTTGAGCTCCAAACCCTTACCCCATCTACCTTCCTGTTCCAAAGGTCGAACCAACTACCCGAACAAGAGCCATGGCGAGAAGAAGAGAAATCCCTGCGAAAGCGAGCCAAGTTCTTGATCATCTGCAAGAAGAACCTATGGAACCCAGGAATCCAGATGTTAAGGTTTTCCGACCGAAGCGAAAAGCTGCTGAAGAAGCTGATGAGCGAATTCGGAAGATTGCAGAGTATGAACAGAAACAACTTTAAAAATTAAGGGCAACTTTGACTATTTTACTATTGACATTTTCTATATTCATTGTTATGTTTCATAAAAGTCTCCTTCATAACATGTATCTCCATATAGGAGCTACATGGGGGGAGTGTGTCGGAGACTGGGGATGATTATGTGTTGATTTAATAATATAGTGCAAAATAATGCAATTAAGACGAACCAATCATAGGTGAGAATGAACTGAACGTGAGATAATACAATATATATATAATGCATGGGACTAGTGAGAGGGAGAGAGGCAGTGAGAGACCAGGGAGTGAGACAATGACTCAAGTGATTTGTGATTATAATTAATATTTTTAAATAAGTGGTGAAAAAGTGACTTTTAGTGGACTACAATTCTTGGGAGGCAGGAAATTCACTAAA